TGCCGCTGCCCCCCTCGACGCGGGACCCCCCGACCCGGAGAGTTTTTGATCTTCTCACCTGCGGGGTTTCCTCTGTCCACCTTGACCCCCCTCTACCTGCCTGCTGCTTGAATCCCTCTTGCTCGAGTTTCTTCTCCAACTTTGACATTTGCTGATTTCTACACCGTGGGGGCGGCAGGGGAGGGGGGTCTGGAGGCTGACCAGAGATGCCCGCAAGACTCAGCAGGGTTCACCCTCGCGAGCTGTGGGGTGCCCCCAAGTTCGAAGGGTCAAGGGGCGGGGCCTAAGGGGAGAGGGGCCAGAGCCTCCCTTGCCGCGGAGACCGTCGGAGTCTGTGCTGGGCCATTGGAGGCCATTGATCAAGAAATCACCGCAAGGCCAGGAAAGAAAGAAAACAAACAAACAAACAAAAACCCCTCACAGCACAAGTCGTTTGGCCCGGACCAGATTCTACGAGACGGCCAGGTTGGAACAAGCTTTTCAGCACAAGCCTTCTTGTACTTAAAAGTTTAGCAAGGGACCATTTCCGCTTGCGGGTGCCACTAGCACCACCTGCCTTGCAGACTTGGGAGTGACATTTTCCGTATCCAGAAACTCGCTGCTTCATGCTGTGGAACAAAGTGTCAAGCAGAGATGAGACTCCTGGTACCTAGCCCAACTATCACTCCTCACTACCTAAGCCCGGGTCCATTGTTGATGTAACTGTTCGCCAAGTGCAGCCCTTTTTCTTGGTTGGCAGGGGGAATGTTTCTGCTAGGAATATCAGAAATCTACTCTGAACCCTATCCCACCCCCTCTACCCCCCCACCAGGGATCAGGAAGAAGATGAAGAAAAATTGGGATAGCTTTGGTAATTGGAATTCAGAGACTCTTTACATCATAGGCCTATAAACCCCTCCCGGCCTGTCCACTCTTGTCAGGCTAGCTTTGTTACTCTCTGACTGCCCTTAGAGATTACCCAAACCTGGAGGCATTTGGAGAGAGAGGTTGGATGATGGTAGCCTAAGGATACACTGTATTTGCCTCTAGTCTGGCATTTCTGAGAAAGTCAGCCTTGAGGCAGGAGTGCAGAGCAGGGTGGATAGCAGAGAGGTGTTTTTGACAGAAATAAGGAAACCTCTTTTCTCTCCAGTCCTTTGCCAACCCCTCTCCAGGAGGCAGAACACTAGAAAACTTAGCAGAAGGAACTGTTGTTTATTTCTTTGACTAGGTCAGCAATGTGTGTAGAAATGGAGGTGAGCTCAGCAGTTTTTCATCAGAGACATAATCAACATTTTTGCAAGGGAATGAGAGACTGAGAACAGAAACAAAAAACAGCTATGATTTTATTAGTAATATTTGCTAATATAAAAGGCAAATAGAAAGTGTGGTGGTATTTTTTTAAATCACCTGAAATCTCCAAGATTAGCGTTTAGGACAAATTGGTAAAGACTGCTTTTGCACACCACCTCACCAGATTCTACCAAAATATCAATGATAAGCTATGGTGAATTTATTGCTGACTATGGAGAGGAAGAGCCTTGGCCTTGACAGTGTTAGTTGTGTTCCAGAGGAAGTTCATTCACTTGCTGAGAACTGTCTGTTTCTAGCAAACAACAAAGATTGTACAGCACAATGGACCATCTGATTTAAAGCAAACCTCCAAAAGCCGGGTGCTGGTGGCTCATGCCTGTAATCCTAGCTACTCAGGAGGCTGAGATCTGAGGATCGCAGTTCAAAGCCAGCCCGGGCAGGAGAGACCCTGAGACTCCTATCACCAATAAACTACCAGAAAACTGGAAGTGGCGCTGTAGCTCAAGTGGTAGAGCGCTCGCCTTGAGCTGAAGAGCTGAGGGACA